CAAATAGAGATTTCCTTTATAGATGTTAATTTTCCTACAAAAGGGTAACTTCTACTCTGCTTTTATAGCATTTCCCGTATTTTCGGGTGTTCAAAATAATCAGCTTGAAATAATCTTTATGCCAAAGAGGCATACTTGGGATGGCATATTCTGGTCTCTTAAACACACAATCCTTTCTTTATAAGACCTCCTTTCCTTTCTTGGTGGAGACTAACAGATGGGTCCTCTGCTACTCACAGAACACTTTGTTTCTTCTCTAACCATACTGAGTACTGTAGTCTGATGTGTATGAGAATTAATTTTCTTTTTGAATATGTCTGTTTTATTCAATAGTTTGTAAAGTCCTTGAGCTCAGCAGTTGTATCAAATTCATTTTTATATCCTTGATACCTGTGATAGACTGAATAATAGTCCCGTATAGATTTTCATGTTCTAATCCCTGGAACCTGTCAGTATGTTATCTTTCAGGGTAAAAGGAATTTCTTAGATGTGATTAAGTTAAGGATACTGAGATGAGGCTATTATCTTATTTTATCACGGTGGAGAAAGGTAGGAGGGTTGGGGCTGAGAAGATGATGTGATGAGAGAAGCAGAGGAAGCGAGGGGATGTAGTCAGAAGAAGCAGTGGTTGCAATGATGTCCTTTGAAGATAAAGGCAGGCACCATGAGCCAAGGAGTGCATGTAGCATCTGGAAGTTAGAAAAAGCAAGGAAGCAGATTCTCCCTTAGAGCCTCCATAAGGAATGAAGCTCTGCAGATGATTGATTGTAGCCCAGTAAGACCCATATTGGAATTCTGACCTTCAGAACTTTAAGATAACTCATTTGTGTAACTTTTGAGCTACTAATTTAGTGATAATCAGTTACAGCAGCAATAGGAAACTAATACAGTGGAGGAGAGGAAAAATATTTTTTTTCTCTACCCATTGTAGGTTTTGGATGAGGCCTCTATAACAAAAAAAAAGATTAACAAGAGAAAAGCATATGAATTTATTTAATAAATTTTATGTGACATGGGAGCCTTCATAAGGAAATTGAGACCCTGAGAAATGGGTAAACCTGAGTATTTTTAGGCTAGGTTTGATAAAGAGCGAAGAGTTGTGGAGAAATGTGATAGGATAAAAAGAGTATAATGTGATGGGAATAAATTGGGGAGAACTTAGAAAGGTCTGTTGGTTCAGATTCTGCACCATGAATATCTTAGTCCATTTCGTGCGGCTACAACAGAATATTTGAGACTGGGCAACTTACAAACAATGTAAGTTTACTTGATTCATGATTCTCGAGGCTGAGAAGTTAAATATCAAGGATCTGGCATCTGGTGGGGCTCTTTTTGTTGCATCATCCCATGGAATAAGGTAGAAGGGAAGGAGAGTACATGTGAGAGAGTGAGAAGTGAAGGGGGCTAGAACTCATCATTTTCTTAGGAATGCATCCTTACAATAATCCACTCCCAAAATAATGGCATTAATTTATTCATAGTCACCTCTTAAAGATTCCACCTCTCAACACTGTTGCATGGGAGAAATAAGTTTTCAACACAGGAAATTTGGGGAACATATTCAACTCAAAACAGCGACCCTTCATCTTCAGAAATAAGGATGTTCCTTTTCTCCTGATATAGAGAAGCACCTCTTAGATGAGGGTCAATACTTTGCTTCAAAGGAAGGTCAGAAGGTCCTTCTTTAGTTTTTTGACCAGCTTCAGGGGAGAAGTATGGGGGCAGGTCAGACAGACCTTCCTGGTACTGAAGGAATTTTTCTTACATTTCTTCAGCCTAAAAGTTTCAGTATGCCAAAGTGCCATATTTTAGGTTAGTATATTCTGAGCCCCTCAACAGCATCTACACACATGTAACATGCAGCTGGGCTTAGTGTATTTGCATCTAACCTTGACTAATCAGAGAATTGTTCTTGATGCTCATGATGGTCAAAGCTAACATTTATTGAACCTTTTGCTGTGTGGTAATCACTGTGGTCAACATTTATATATGGTTCTCATAGTCACCCTAAGGCCCCATTATTATCCCAGATGAGAAAACTGATGCACAGAATGTTTTAATCATTTTCTTCCAATCACACTTCCGAATAGGTGATGGCACTGGGACTTGGAAATGAGCAATGTGGCTCTCAGGTCTGTGGCCACAGCACTCTATCCTGCTTAGTCATGTTCTCATGTCACACATAAATTCTATATGCTGTCCTGGTGTGATATGTTGTGAAGAAAATTGGAAGAGCTAGATTTGAATATTGGTGCCTTCAATAATCAGTTGACTCTGTAAATGTGGACAAGTCAGCCAGCCTAGATCTGTGTGCCTGTCTTGGTTAAATCATTGTTTTTCTGCTTACCTTATGAGGTTAATATGAGGATTGATGTTTCTCAAAGGACATATGTTTCTCAGTAGCATATGTGTAGTGCCTGATGTTTCTCAAAGCACTTTCACATGTTCTGAGAAACATCATATGCTTTGAGAAACAGCACTGATAAACAGCATATATGTAGTACCTGATGTTTCTCAAAGCATGTGAAAGTACTTCTGTTTATCAATATATATTTTGTTGCTGTATACCTTCTGCAGATTTCCTCATACCAGGATTACCTGCCTGGTCTGACTCCTTTGGTGAGTAGGGGCTTAATAGTATTTGGTATATGCATTTGATAAAAATGCTATTTGACCTCTTAGTTCTCATTCTTATATTTTGGGTTGTTGACATTAAAAATCTGAGAGCTCAGAATTTAGTCTCCTTCATAGAACTTCTCTTTCCTACTTTTTTTTTAAAAGAGCCTTTCTTATCTCACTCCTGAGCTAATATTTTTATCTTGTAGCCCATAGGAAGGTAGGACTTATAGAAAACTTGCAATGATTTCAGCAGCTTTTCAGAAGGGCTTTGAGTGAACAGTTAATCTCTTGAGAATGTGAAGTCATTTGTGGTGGAGAATCTTAACCTAGTGTTGAGTTGCAAATCCTGGAAAGTCCTGACTTAAGAAGATAGGGAGTTTTAAAAGAAAGCCAGTGAAATGCATCTGATTCTCCTTCTCCCTGTCCTGCCTTGGCCTGCAATGGTACTTGTTCCTTTAAGATGCTTTAATTGCTAATTGTCTGCTGTTTGTGAGGTTAGTTGAGCTCACCAGGGCGATGGAAGGCCTGACCTGACCAGACCTGAATTCATTGGCAAATTCTCAACTTTTTGAAAAATTATTGAGTTTTGGCTGAGATCACACCTGACTTTTTGAAGCATCTTGTTTTGATTTATTGTTTCTTTTGTTTACTTGTCAGATATTCCCGCCCACAACATGGATTTACAGAGTACAAGTGTTTTTTGCATGTTCAAAGCAAGTCAAGCTATCCTGAATGGTGCAACATATAGACATAAAATGATACTGTGAGGGGCATCCTTATGGATACATTTTGGTTCCTCTCCGATTGTTTCCCTGGGATGAATTCTTAGACATAGAATTACTCCACATGGGTACCAACTTAAAACATTTAAAACCACCAAACCAAAAAGAGAAGATACATATGAACAAATTGTATTTTCTTTTTTTTTTTTAATTGAGACAGAGTCTCCCTCTATCACCAGGCTGAGACAGAGTCTCCCTCTATCACCAGGCTGGAATGCAGTAGCATGATTCCTTCTCACTGCAACTTCCATTTTCCAGTATCAAGCAATTCTCCTGCCTCAGCCTCCCAAGTACCTAGGACTACAGGCACACACTACCACACCCGGCTAATTTTTTGTATTTTTAGTAGACATGGGGTTTCACCATGTTGGCCAGGATGGTCTCAATCTCTTGACCTTGTGATCCACCTGCCTCGGCCTCCCAACGTGCTGTGATTACAGGCATGAGCTACCACTCTGGGCCGAATAGATTGTATTTTCTATATACTATACTGATTAACACTCCCACAAGTAGTATATGAGAATGTATAGCTCACTGAAAATTTATCAGTGTTCACTTACCCCATAAATATCTCTGGAGTTCTTATGATCTTCCAGGTTCAGACATTTTTCAGAAGTTTTCAAAAGCATGCCAGGTGATTTGAATTGTAGATAGCTGAGAACTACTGGTTTAGTAAATAGGAGAAAAGTATTCTCTTACTACCTCTTAGTGGTCTGAATCTTTCCTACTGTCCCCTTAAAATAGATCGCTCTCTAGGTCATTGGTGTGTTTTGCTACACAGGACATACTGTTCCTAATGAGCAGCCCCTTTATCAGTCTAACACTCTCTTGAGCCACAAATTTACAGTAATGCCTCTAGGCTTATTAATATAATCTTTTGACCATGCAAAGCTTTCCAATGTGCAGATAATTCTGCTGGATGATGTTAACTTTCAACTGAACAGAATCTCTTCTTGGCAAAGCACTTCACCAATTCTATCTCATTTAACTATTGTAGAGACCTTGGAATTCGACATTTTCATTCTATTTTTACAGAAAAAGGAAAAGGAACTCAAATAAGTAGCTTTTCTCCAAAGTTGTGCAACTCATAATCACATGTTAGGTGCTGACTCCGTGCAAGTCTTTTGACTTCAAGTTCAGTTTCCAATGCTGTGTTAGAACCTGTCTTTGGCTTTCTCTAGTTCTGCTGTTTTTTTAATACACAAATGGATCTGGCTACTGGATTGTTATTGAGGTTATTTTGTTTAGTGCCTGCCTTTCTCATGCTCATTTTCTTCTGTATATGCTCATCTGGGATTTTACATATTTACAGCAGTGTTTCTCAACTTTTTTTTTTTCATTATTGCTCCTCCTTTCCCAGGAGGAAAAATCTAATTTAATTTAAATTCTTTCTAAATTCTTCACCCCAGGTCTACAGAACATACATTTTCCCAGTATCACATTACACCTATTTTGAAAGTGACCACATAATTGGAAGTAAATCACTCTTCAGCATTTGCATAGCATTTCACAGACTTAAATGAAATATTGGTTGACTGTTTGTTTGTTATTTTCTTCCCTTATTCCTTCCTGTCTCTGCTGTTAGGCACAATTATTGGCATAAAAGAGGTTTTTAATGCCTATTTTTATATTGCATTCCAGCCTGGGCAATAGAACAAGACTCCTGTTCTCTCTCCCCCTTTCTCTTTCTCTTTCTCTTTCTTTCTTTCAAAAAAAATCTAATGAGAGAAAGTAAACATTAAAGCAATAAGAACAGATACTACACTTGATCTTAGCCAAAAGGCTGAGAAGGGAAGAAAAATTAAATATTAACGAATAAAATTTTGACAGGTAGGTTTGAGCTTTGGATGGTAATGTCTGATATTTTTGTTCTTCAACAATCAATTTTAATCTTCTTGGGAGTTCAGAAATGCTGTTAATGGACTTACCAATTTAGATGACTAACCATGGTTATCAAGGCAGAGAGGAGAGCTGTTTAACATACTGATGGATCATATAACCAACCATATGTTTGTAACTCATGGAACACATGACACCGACATTACTCTCAGCTCACACCAACTAATTCTTTATAAGGAAGCTGTGCTTCAGTGTGGATTACTAATTATTCAGAGATGCATCTGTATGATTAAACCACATGGAATTTCACATTTGCTTTTGTTTTCCATATATTTTATGGGTCATATAGATATCTCCACCTTTTACCCACTGCCTGCCTTTTCATTAAATGTGAGCTTTGAATAAGGTTTTTGTCTCCTGGTGGTCACAGCTCTGGGCTGAAATTTTAGATTCATTAGTTTCTGATTTGTGGCAGTTACCTACATTTTTACTTATAATTTTAGATAAAGAAATGCTGGCATGTTCACAGGCAGGAAAACACTGCATTGGTAGATAAGGGTCATTCCATGTTGGGCTTGACTGGTTGCCACCAACTCTGACATCTCTGACCTGTTGGCAGGGAAAGAATGTAAATGAGTGAGAATAAAGAGCCCCAGGTAGCTTCTGTTTGTTTTTACAAGAGAGCCAGATCTAGGTGATTTGGGAGAATGCCAGATATTATAAACACAGAGCCAGAGAAAAAGAACAAGGATGGCAAGAAGAGGCCAGGGACTGTGAGAGGTGCACTTGCAGGGAGTGGAGTCTGGCCCAGAGGAAGGTTATTATTCATTTCTGTGCATAGAATTTTTAAGATTAACTTGCTAATTTCTTTCCTGAAGTCAAGCAAGATTTTAAGTCATTTATCAGGGCTCATAGGGTACTATTTATAGAAGTCAGAATAAAAGTAAATGAACCATGAATGCTAACACGCATCTAGCAAATTTAATAAGATTTAAAAGTTGAATAAACTAATGGAGGCTGCACATTTTCTCCAGGGCCCCTTTACAAGTTTTAACTTTGTTCCCTTTCCCCCCACTTCATTTTACACACTGTCTTTTGTGGATTCTTTTAGCTTTAGCTTATAGAATACTGAAATGATTTAAAAGCCTGCCTTTAGAGGATATTTCATTTTTAGTTAAACATTTACATGATGATGACTTCCTGTCACCTGCTGAAAAAAAAGGTTTTTTTGCAAGAGCTAGACTTTCAATGAGGATAAAGGAGATTGTATGAATGATCTGTTGTTGCATAACAAACTGCCACAAGTAAAACAACAAATATTTATTATCTTAAATTTTGTATGGCTTGGGTGGGCCCTCTGCTTCAGGGTCTCTTACAAGGCTGCAATCACTTGTTAGCCAGGACAGGGATTTTATCTGAAGTCTCGACTGGGAAAGATCCACTTCCGTGCTCCTGTGGTTGTTGCATAATCCAGTTTGCTGAAGGCTTTGGACTGAGGGCCTCAGTTCCTAACTACTTTGGAGGCCACCCTCAGTCCCTGGTTATATGGACCTTCTTAACATGGGAACTTGCTTCCTCAAAGCCACCAAGAGATACAGTCTGCTGGAAAGACATCCACCACCTTTGCCATATCTTATTGGTTAGGGAGTCACTAGGCCAGCCCACACTAAAGGGTGGGAGATTACACAAACACATTAACGCCAGATTGAGGAGCACCTTAGGATCCTAGGCCAAGGAGATAATGTGATCGTAAGTTCTTTGAGGGAAGAGAACTTTTTTTTATACTTAAAATATTTACAAAACCTTTGTGAGGTGGTAGCTAGCACTTTGTGCTGAACTGGATTGTGCAGCCCTGGGATAGCACTGGACAGGGCACGAGCGACCAACCTCCCTGTTAGTAAATGCACATAGAGAGCAGCCTCCTTGAGCATTCTCAAGCAAAAGAAAGAAGAGGCCTCAGAGCTCTGGCAAAACAATGGCAGAAAACACATCCTTATCTTTTCCATCGCATTTTCAAAGTTGTGTTAGAGGAAAAGGAATATATTCTGGTTCTGGAGATTTTCAGTTTTCTTTTTATCTCATTAATTCCCTGCCGGGTGCTCCAGGACAAGATATCAAAAACCCTTTTTTGAATGGGAGGTACTGTGAATATAAATAGAAAAAATACACCATCTTTTTCCTTAAAGAGCTTTCAGTCTTATGGAAGAGACATAGATGGAAGTGGATAATTAGCAAATGTCATCAAAAGGCCTGAGAAAAAGTTATGCAAAAGCTACTGTGTGTGCACAGAGGCTGTAAACCTAATCTCAAGTTGCAGGTGCGTGAGTATTGGACAACATTCAAGGAAGGCTTTCTGGAAGAGGTGACACAGAGTTAAATTAGTTGGACTTAGACTTTGAAGAAATGAAGGCAGGTTTTGCTGGGAGGGGTTGAAGTATTATGTATAAAGGCTCAGAAGCAGGAGAGCATTTGGGACCTCATGAAACTGCAAGTTGTCCTGTATGGATGGAGTTTAGGGATCTTCTTGGGAAGTGGTAAAAAAATGAGGCTGGAGTTGGGTGTGATAATGCATGAAATCCCAGCTATTCAGGAGGCTGAGGCAGGAGGATTGCTTGAGCCCAGGAGTCAGAGGCTTCAGTGAGCTATGACTACACTACTGCACTCCAGCCTGGGTGACAGAGTGAGGGCCTGTCTCTACAAATAAAAAATAAAAAGATGAGGCTGCAAGGTAGGCAGGAATAAAATGATCATCAGAGTTTTTGGATGTTGTTCCAAGGATTTTGGACTTTATCTTAAAAGAATTAGGGGATAATCCATCAGATTCTGCTTTAGAAGTAGAGAAGGATTAAAGGAGTGTTAAGAGACAATAAGACCAAATAGGATGCAGGTGAAGGGAGAGGGGGTCTGAAATGCAATGAAGTCAGAGGGAGAGGAAATGGTGAATTTGAGATCCTAAGGATGCAGAATCATCAAGACAGGGTGATGGCATTGGTTGTGGAGGGGGAAGTGAGGAAGAAGGAAATCTTGACTCAGATTTCTTATTACAGTGACTGGTAGACGGTGGGGTAACTCGCCAGTTTATGAAACATTGGGAAAATGATATGTTTGAGTTCTGTTTTGGAATTATTCATTATATGGGTTTGTAGGAATCTGAGCAGAGATGAGCAGTGTTTCAGGGCATCCAGATATGGAGCTCAGGTGAATGTGGAGGAGACCACCAAGGGAGAGTATGCAGACCCAAAGGAGAAAAAGAACGAAGGGTAAGCGCCTGTGACATCTGCAGTTAGGGGGAAGAAGACACCGTAAAAGAGCGGGAGAAATGAGTGGTGTGATAGTCCAAGTTCCCCGGGTTACAGGCCACAGAAGCCAACACAAGCTGGCTCAAGCAAAAACACACTTTTAAGAATTCAGGATATCCAAGGTGCTAAATGTTCTGGAACTAGGACGCAGAAAGTCTCCAGGAGCACAGCGGGCACTCTGTCACACTAAGGTCCTCATATCCCAGCAAAGCTGTTTCCTTTTTCTGTCTAAACACAATCTTCCTCCATTGCTCTGTGCAGGTGACAAACCCACAGCTCCTCCCCAGATAATGAGGTCACCCATCCAATTGACTGCCTTTTGACCTCAACTCCAGTTTTCTGGGAGAGTTAGTCTAGTGTTTTGTCCCATGGTGCCAATGGTGTCATGCAGTACAAATGTGGCTAATGAGGACCCACCCTGGCTGTAGTCAGCCCTTAGAGAAAGAAGGATGTAGTTAGAATCATAAATACCGTGGGCAGCCGAAATGGTAAGAAGACAACGGTAGGAAGAGGGGATCAAGAAAGCCAGACCAAGGGAGAGATTCAAAGAGGAGGGAGGAAGTGGTCCACTGTGCTAGATGCCGCTGACCTAACAGAAGGATTGAATTTAGGAAGAATTCACAGTCAAGCTACTTACTACTTGAGTAGCTAAGTCTGTGAAAGTAAGTGGGAAATTACTGGTTTTCATTTAGATGGGTAAGGTGTAAGTAAGCTTCTGTGGGGGAAGAAGAGGAATAGGCATTAAATTGGGGGAATAGGCAATACAGCTGGAGGGCATAACTGATGAATGAGATTCCCGAGGAAGCAGGAAGGAACACAGGTGGAGGGATTAGCAGCAGATGAGAATGGGCCATAGCTCTCACCGGCGCAGGAAAGTGGGGGGTGCAGATGTAGATAATTTGGAGGGTGGGATGCTAAGAAATTAAGTCCAGATTCTGGTGACAGGAATTATTTACTCTTTACAAACCCCTAAGTTCTTCTCTTGCTCCTTAAATGGATTGAATAAATGCTGAGAAGAGCAATTTAAAGGTCTTTGCCAACAAAAGAATCTGGTATTTCGTATACTGGTGAATTGACAGAGAGAGCTTAGGCCAGGCCAGGACTCCTTATAGGAGCCCCCAGTTGGGCCCAGTGGCCCTGTCTGAAGTAAATGACCCTGTGTTCCTGCTGTGGTCTGTGTTCCCCCAGTATCCACATGTTGAAACTTAATTTCCAGTGTGATAGTATGAAGAGGTAGAGTCTGTAGGAGGTGATTTAGTCATGAGGGTGGAGCCTGGGATGAATGACCTTATATGAGAAGCCTGAGGGTGCTGTTCATCCCTATCCCCCACCATCTCTTTTACCTTGTGAGGATGCAGCAACAAGGCACCGTGCTGGAAGCAGAGAACAGCCCTCAACAGACACGGAATCTGCTGGTGCCTTGATCTTGGAATTCCCACCATCTAGAACTGTGAGCAGTACATTTCTGTTTCTTATTAATAAATTACCCAGTCTGTGGTATGTTTTTATAGCAGAACAAACAGACTCAGACAATTTCTAAGTGTCCAAGGGCATCCTATGAGAAGCAAACACAAAATATGAATGTATCACTCCGGCCTGGGCAACAGTGAGACCCTGTCCCTACACATAGATAGATAGATAGATAGATAGATAGATA